TGGGGGGGGCCGTGCTACGGGTCCTTAGTCTCAGGATCGTGCTGTCGAAGGTCCAGAGAGACGGGCTTGGGGACGCTCGGCTTGTGAAGGCTGGTAGTAAAAAACAAATTAACCAACCATGGCGCCAACCTCACCAAGCACACTCACCGAAAGCAACCCGACCCCAACCTACACTTACCTTAACCTAACCTAACCTCAGCCAGCCTAACCTACCTCAACCTAATCCAACCAAACCTAGCCAAAACCTTCCCCAACCTACCGGAACCCAGCAGAAGCTAACCTACACCAACCTAACCCACAGCCCACAGCTTCCCTTTCCTCACCAAACCTAACCTCTACCTACCTTTGCGGAACCTACCCTAACCTCACTCACCCCCAAACCCAACCAAACCTGATCTAACTTAAGATAACACCCCCCTCCCCCCCCTCCCCGCTCCTCCCCTCCTGCCCGAGGCCCTCAACTGGCCTGCAAAGTTTTCGCAGGCGCCCAAAATTGCTCAGCAAACGCTGCGAGGCAAGAGCCGACGGCAACAGGAGAGGAAGGGTACCCGTACTTGGAGGTTCGTGGGTACAAGCAAGAGAACTTCAGTTATAACCTATCTTAGGGGACGTATAACCCCACTTCAAACCCTAAACCCTAAACTACCCATAAACCCCCCAAGTAGGGCCATGGGGCTTTGGTATGGGGTCTGGGGATTTGGGCTTGGAGTTTGGGCATTGCGGGACTTAGGGCTTCGGACCCGAAGGGAAAGGGCGTAACCCAGAGACTGCTCAAGGGACTCGGAGAACCCAAATACCCCTTAATTAAGGAATATACCTCAAGCTATGAGGGCCTTAATATTAGGGCGTCAATACCCCTTAATGAAGGAACTATACCTTAAATCCTAATATTAAGGCCCCTATAGTTTAAGGTACATTCCTTAATTGAGGGGTATTGGGATCTCTGGGACTATTCTTCAGCTCAAACAGAGTCCATGTATGGGAACCGTAACTAACGGACGTCGGAGTCTCTTGGCAGATCACCATAGAGTCCTGTTATGGGGCATCTCGAACCCCGAACGGCAAAGCCATAGATCCTCATTCCTACACCCAAATCCCTGTAACTACCCCAGAACCCGGGACCCTAAACCTTATCCCTAATCCCGATGCCTCTAATTACCCCTATAAATCTAACTTCCAAGGCTACCGCCTTCAGGGGTCACGGTTTAAGTTTAGCGTAGTTGGCAATGGGTTCGGGTTCCGGCGAAGCAAACCAGAATAGGCATCTGAGCAATAACCCTAAACCCTAAACCTAAAACCAATGCACTACACAAGCCAAAGCCTCAGAACCTGCCTGAGCGCAGGTTGAGTATTTCAGGCCTGTTTAGGACTCTGGCCTCGACCCTAAACCCTAAACCCCTAAACCAGCCTAAGCCAGCCTAAGCCAGCCTAAACCAGCCTAAACCAGCCTAAACCCTTAACCCCTAAAAGCCTTTACCCCTAAAGTCCCCCAAAGCCCTACAAAGACCTACCACCCTAAACCCTTCAACCCTCACGTCCTTCTTGAGACCCCTTGCAAAACCCTACCTAGCCTTACTCTGGGTTCTTGTACCAGCTCCAAAGAGAACGAGATAAGTTCCACTACCAAGATTATTATTTGGGTACTGCCCTCATACAGTAACAGTCAAAAATGGCTCTACTATTAAGGCCCTCAGATATCCATATTATGACTTGAACTCAACTGTTACTGAGCGGGGGCAGTATCCAAATTATCATGTTCTTTGGAAATACAATTGGGTTATACTTTCTAAAGACCAAAGAGGAAGTGCTTCTTCACTATACAACGTCCAAAAAATAAACTAGCAAAAGGATTTCCTTTACGGGTCCCTTTAAGGGATCCTCTTAGGGGGGTCCTCGACCCTAAACTCTAAACCCCCCAATGCCTCAGACCCCTACATGTAATAATTCAGGGTCCTCTAAAGGTCATATCCCTACAGGGGCGTAGGATTGAATGGTTTATCCTTACATGGCCACTGATTCTTGGAGTCTTAACATCCTCGAAAAACCCAACATGGCAAAACTTCATAGTCTGCGTGGCTTTTGGGCCTCCAAGCAATGCTGCTTAAGCTTTAATCCAAACATGTTAAGCCGCCCACGCACACCCTGTAACGCCAACCTACGAAGCCTGAGCTGAGGTAAAGTTTAACGCTGCCTCTTTTGGCCCTAAACCCTAAACCCTAAACCTTGAAGTAAAGTCTGACGCCGCCCTTTTTGGATTCTGGCACGCCGAAAAGAAAGTCCTCGCGGAGAACTGCCACCCTCCGAGCTTTCTCAGCCTCGAGGCTGGAGCCTGCTCAGGGACTTTAATATTAAGGGGTTTAATTTCTTTAAGGATTTAGGGTTTAGGGCTTAGGGGTTTAGGGGTTTAGGGTTTTACTTAAGTTACCATAATAGGGATCTATAGTAAATGATCTGGTTTCCTTCTTATGGTAGCCTAAATATTTAAGTTGCCATAATAGGGATCTATAGTAAAGGATCTGGTTTCCTTCTTATGGTAGCTTAAATCTTTAAGTTACCATAATAAGGATCTACAGCAAAGAATCTGGTTTCCTGCGTATGGTAGCTTAAATATTTAAGTTACCATACTAAGGATCTACAGCAAAGGATATGGTTTCCTTCTTATGGTAACTTAAACTAAATAGACAAGAACCGAGGAGGCAAGGCGGCTCTTCGAAGGGTTCGGGTGTTTGCGGTAGAAGCCCCAAAAATTGGAAACCCAATAGCCTGAATCCTTAAAGGGTAATAAATATAAATATAACTATATATATATATATAAGTATAAATATAAATATAAATATAAATATAAATATAAATATAAATATAGATATAAATATAAATATAGATATAAATATAAATATAAATATAAATATAAATAAATAAATAAAAAAAAATATATATATATTATATATAGATATAGATATAGATATAGATATAGATATAGATATAGATATAGATATATATATATAGGGAGGGAATCCCAGCACTAATTGTGCTGAATCCGGCTTCCAACTCTTTGGGGGCTTACTTCAGACTTTCGGCTTCAGACTTTCAAGGCTACAGCTGGGGGCTTTTGAGAGTCTTTCTGCAAACCCTAACCCCTAAACCCTAAACCCTAACCCCTAACCCCTAAACCCTAACCCCTAAACCCTGTCATCGACATTTAATTTTAGGATCTTCGGGAGTTGCTTGCGTTGCTGGTTTCTGTAGGTATTGGGGTCTCATGTTCATGGTTTTCCACTATTATTCCAAATGGGACTGCGCGCAAAAACTGAGCAGTTCAGACGGTTTTGGGGTCCAGGTTTAGGGTTTATGGGTCACTTGTTTTGTGCAGGGTTGGGTGTGGAAGTTAAGGCATCGTTCCCGGACAGTTCTTGAATTCCAACTCCTACACGATTGAGTTTCTGAGCCCCTCCCTGCAGAGGACAAAAAAGATCTGTGCGGAAAGACCAAGCCTGAAAGCTCCCGGGCACAATCTCCAGCTAAGGCCCCAAAGGCACCTGTACACTCCTTGTGAAAGCTCTGTACTTGTAAATGGTGGGAAAAACTTCTGACAGCTACTGCAGCCACGATCATGAAGACTCTTGTAGACAAGTGCTCGGAGCTCGCGTCGAAACCGCATGGAGTGAACTCGCCGAGCCCTGGACCCCAAACCCAAACCAGATCCTCAAGAGCCCCGATAGATCATGGGAACACCCTTTCAAGACCTTTTTTTACTTAGCCCCAGAGTCCTGCTGAAACCCCTCCACGCGACCATCAAAGTAGCGCTTGCAGTAATCATTGTACAGTTGATGATATACATCCTGCATCACTCGTAATAGGGAGTATATCATAACTCCCGTAGTTTAGCGTCCTTAAGGTAATGCAGAATTTATACCATCAACCGTCGTAACCTGCAACGAAGCCTTAAGCAGCCAAGCCGCAAACCATTAAGCGCAAGAGCTCTTTTTTTGTTGGCCACAAACCAGCCACAAAAGGCGCAATAACTCTAAATCCTACACCCTAAACCTCAGAGAATCCTGACAAGGAATTCGGCTTTGGAGCCTCAGATCACCAGTAAGCAGGATTTAAAGTCCCCAAAAGCCAGCCATTGCCTTCGTCTTAATTCAAGGCCCATTATACTATAATCATAGTAAGGAACCCCCAAAACAATGTAGGTAATTATTCAGGCCCCTACATTTTAGAAATTAAAAGCCCTCAGTCAACCCCCCGTTAAGACCCTCATATAAAACCCTAGACCGCTAAACCCCGCAACCCCCCAAAAAACCCTATACTACACCCTAAACCCTACGCCCCTAAACCCCTACACCCTACACCCCTAACACCTCTAAGGTTTCGAGGTCCCAGGGTCCCCCTTTACGCCAGCCTTCGCCGTCGTCTCTTGACTCCAGGGCTTCCTTGAGGTGCTGCCGGGCAAGACTGCCATGGATCCGCTGGAGAACCTGTGTGCCGAAAAACCGTAAACCCTAAACCCCAAAAGTCCTAGACCCTAAACCCCAAACCCTAACCCCCTAAACCCTAAACCCTAAAAAACTAACCAACAACGGAACACCAGTGCTTGAACTTCACAGCCGGCGTTAATCACGAGACTTGTTGCTTTAAAGGGTTCCTTGTACAGGGTCTTTCAGGGTCGTCGCTATCAGGGTCTTTGTGAGGGCTTGACGTGGGGGCTTTAATGATTAAACTAGGGCTTTGGGCAATAGTATTGGGGGCTTTAGTGATTAAACAAGGGCTTTGGGCAATAGTACAACGTGCTATAACTGAAGTGTATGAGGGAATCCTAAGGAATATCATGAGGAGTTATTCAGGCTTCTGTGCTTGCTTTTCCTGGTTCTGAGAAAGAGCGCCCCACACCCTTAAACCCAACTGAGCTCCAGACATGCCAACGATCGTTCCAAAAGTAGCAGATGAGGTGGAGCCTGATTCACAGGGCGATCTGGGTTCAGGGTTGTCTGGGCACGGGTTTAGGCCGACCAGTGCGAGCTTTCCTTTTTCGGCCGCTGATGGTCCAGACCAAAACCTATCAAGCAATATTCGGTAGCAAGAGGACAAACGGCCCGAACCGGGCAGAGCCTGACTACGGCTGCGATGGCCAAGAAGGGACACGTCAAGAATCTGCTGGGTTTGGAGACGGATGCCCCCCAAGACGAGGGCGTGTTCTTCACATCCCCTGCTTCCCGGTGCGGCCGGAGGGCACTTCGCGAGCCTCCTTGCAGGCGCAGCATGTAATGAACTGCACGGGGCAAGGCCTCGGGCGAGGGTGGCTGACGCATGCCAGATGGCCCCGCTCTGACAAAGCGGGACCTCACACAGCCCGCGATTTGCAGATGACGCGGCTGCGACAAAGCGGGACCTCACAACATAACCGTAACGTATGGCAAGGTTCAAGAAAACACGCCTCTGCTTTAACGCATGAAGAAAAAGATTACCCGACCGCTCGCTTCTGAAGAATCCGTGCAACAAACTTTCTCTGTCCCTGCACTGCGCAGAAAGGCACACCGGTGCTGTGCTAGATCGATGTGAGGACGGGGCCACCAACAGAGACGGCTTCGTCATGCCCGGTGAAGCCCACGTCCAGCGCGCACCTCCGGAGCTGTGAATCACTGCATCCCTCCTTGCGGCTTGGACCCGGCGCAGGGAATGCAAAAGCTCAACCCCAGCACCAAGAAGCAGATCCTGAAAAAAGAAAACAGGCGAGCCTTCCTGTCTGGAAACACTCTCGCTGTATCTGCAATCTGCACTGCAAAGCAATCCACACCAATCTCCGCCCACAAGAAGTGCAGAGGCACGGATTGCACAGGCCGAGGCAATCATTGGGCGAACCCAGCCCGAAACTGGGACTGCGGCTCTGCCTGTGGTCAAGGGCCCGGACATGCAGCTCGCATCACGAAGGGCTTTTGCAGAGGAGCGGATTGCATGGGCCGAGGAGACAGGTGGGCGAATCCAGCCCGAATCTAGGACGATGGCTCTGATTGTGGTCAGCAGCCCGGGCACGCAGCTCGCAACACGGAGGTGTTTTGCACCGTACCCTGCTGAGAGAAAGCTAGATCTCATAGCACAAGCGGAAGGCACGGCCTTTGCAATAGCAAGGTCCAATAGAGAATGCGTGTCTTCCTGCCGAGAAACAACTAGATGCTGCGACCGCACCCGTCTGAGGTATCCTTGCCACGAACTCTCTCCGTATCTGCTCTGCGAGGAAACGCACGCTAAGCATGCCGGTGCTGCACCTGGTCGACGTGAAGAAGCTGCTGAGGGATGCATTGCGTAGGCCGCAGCGATTTGTGGGCGAATCCAGCCCGCAACTGGGACGACGGCTCTGCTTGTGGAAAGCAGACCAGCCGGACCAGCCATGCAACCCGCATGGCGCTCGTGAATTGCAAATGGCGCGGCTGCGACAAAGCTGGACCCCACAGCACAACCGCAGCACATGGCAAGGTCCAAGAACAACTGTACCTTCTTGAAAACATGAAGAAACGGATGACACGATCGCTCGCATCTGAAGAATCCGTGCAACAAACTTTCTCCGTCCCTGCACTGCGGGGAAAAGCATATCGGTGCTGTGCTAGATCGATGTGAGGACGGGGCCGAGGCACGGATTGCATGGGCCGAGGAGACAGGGGGGCGAATGCAGCCCGAAACTGGGACGATGGCTCTGCGTGTGGTCAACGGCCCAAACATGCAGCTCGCATCACGGAGGTGATTTGCACCACACCATGCGAAGAGCAAGCTGAATTTCACGGCGCATGTGCAAGGCATGGTAATTGCAATGGCAAGGTCCACTAGAGAATGCGTGTTTCCCTGCCTAGAAACAACTAGATGCTGCGACGGCACCCGTCTGAGGTATCCTTGCCACGAACTCTCTCCGTAGCTGCTCTGCGAGGAAACGCACGCTAAGCATGCCGGTGCTGCACCTGGTCGACGTGACGAAGCTGCTGAGGGATGCATTGCGTAGGCTGCAGCGATTTGTGGGCGAATCCAGCCCGCAACTGGGACGACGGCTCTGCTTGTGGAAAGCAGACCAGCCGGACCAGCCATGCAACCCGCATGACGCTCGTGAATTGCAAATGGCGCGGCTGCGACAAAGCTGGACCCCACAGCACAACCGCAGCACATGGCAAGGTCCAAGAACAACTGTACCTTCTTGTAAACATGAAGAAAAGAGCCCCCCGTGCTTAGGAGGGGGAGGGGCAGAAAATGTAGATTACAATTCTCACTCCCCCGCCGATACGAATGCGTCAATTGTAG